TATATATATATTTAGAAAGGTCACAAGAATAAGAATGGAACAAAGAATCCTCACATATTCTAACCCAGCTTAAGTCATTGTTAACATTCAACCTCTTTTGCTTTATCACTTGTTCTGTTTATGTATATATACAGAATATTTTTTCTGCATCATTTCAAAATTGCGTATGACACATTCTTCCTCACCACATACTTTAAGTTGTATTTCTTAAGAATAAAGAATATATTTACTTACATAACCACCATTGTTTTTGATATTATTAAATATAGTATTAATACAATAACATTCATTTTCCACTTTTGTCAGTTGATCTAACAATGTTTCTTAGGGCATCCTTTTTCCCTTTCCAGTCTAGAATCAGGTATTGTATTTTATTATCAATATTTCTTTTATCTCTTTGATTTGGAACATAGCTAGACTTTTTTTTTTTTTTTTTTTTTGTGGTGTGGGAATGGATCCACGGCCTTGTACATGCTAGACAAATGTTTTAACACTGAGCTATGTCCTCAATCCTCCAAGCCTTTCTTTTTGTATTATTATAAATTCACACCTTTGAAGAATGGTATTCCTCCTCCCTTGGTTATTTTCCTCTAGAACATTCCTCATTTTGAGTTGATTGATGCTTCTTCATGATTAGATTCAGGTTATACATTCCCAGTGGGATTACTACATCAGTGGTTTGTGTCCTCCTCAGGGTATATACATGATGGCTTTCTGTCTCTCATTAGTAATGTTAATTTTGATCAGTATGGTGTTTGTTTTTTCCACTGCATGATGATTATGTTTTTTTTTTCCCCTTGAAGCTAATAAGCAATCTGTAGGGAGACACATTAAGACCCTGTAACTGTTCTCCTTATGAAAATGTCCTCTCACATCTATAGGTTGTCAGGTTTGGTGTCTGTTGATATGATTCTTGTCAAAACAGTCTGTGCTCTGATGGTTGCAAAGGGATGAACCAGCACTCCTTCAGCTCCACCAATCCTTCGATAGCCACTAGTCAACTCTTATTATTCTGCTGTAAGCAGCAACCCTTTCTTCTTTTCTTTCTATTTACTTACCTATTAATAATGTGAACGAATAGGTCCCCCACACCTTTTTTTGTTTGTTTGTTTGCCTCTGGTGGTCTATAATACATGGCAGTCCTTAATTATTTTGTTGTTGTTGTTCAAATTGTCCCATATTTGCCTAGCCTTTTCACATTGAATGCTTGTAACATGTTCATATGTTTCTAATTTTTTTCCTCCTCCTTTGAAGCCCTTTATTAATTTTTGGCTTATATTATGGCCATTCTGACCTTCTTTGAGTGAGGAGATGGTATTAGAGACCAAGATCTGAGTTCTAGACCTATTCAGAGGACAAATTAGGAAACATATTATGCATTTAAGTGCATATGCAAAAAGACACACATATACTTCCCCATAGTGTGTGCACATATGTACACCTACACACAGATATGTCTTAGAAATTGTGATTTATACTTGTGTTTATACTATCATATTCCAGTTGATCCTCATGGGTTTCTCTTTTCCTACCCCATTTCATTTTTTTATGTGTACCTTCTTCCACATTGAGAAACTTTATTTTTATCAAGATCAACACATTTGCTCTTTTGCTCATTTCTGTAATTAAAATAGTTTTGAAATTGCTTCATTCATGTCACTAAAAAAAAAAAAAAAGGAAAGAAAGAAAAAGAAAGAAAGGGAATCTTACTTAAAGGACTTCAAGATATGTTTTCAGTTCTCCACCTTGTCTGTTGAACAATAAACTCAAATACTATGCTTGCTTAATTTTCTCCTTCATTTAAAATTCACTTGCATTCATTTGTTCTAGTTTGCCTTCAGTTTTAGATTTTTATCCCCACCCTCTACTTCCTTAAAGTCAGAACTACACAATAAAATGTACCCAGAAAAGTGTCAAATCTCTTTCATATCCATTCCTTCCATCCTGCTCCCTGAATCCCGCATTAGTAACCAACTTAATTTGTACCACATTTGGTATAGGAGACTAAACCACTGAGCTACATATATCAGTTCCCAGAATATTTCTGTTTTGAGCAGGTTCTCACCAAGTTGCTGAGGCTGACCTCACACTTGAAATTCTCCTGCCTCAGCTTTGTAAATAGCTGGGATCATAGGCATGTGCCATCATGTTCCAACTTCATTGTTTCCTAGTTCATTCTTTCTGTTTTTTCTTTTTCTAGTGCTAACTTGATATATGGACATTTTCTCATTCTGCTTTCTTCCACAAAAGGTAGCATACTGTATATGTTGTTTCTAACTTTGCTTTCGTCACTAACAGTATTTCCTGGAAATTACTTCCTGTCAGTTCATAGAGATTGTCTTCATTCTTTTTTATAGTTGTATTCCATAGATGTATGTACTATGATAATTTCTTATTCTTGGATGTTGGTATTTTTTAGTGTTTTGTTTAAAACTAATGTTTTCAATGAATAACCTTTGCAATGTTGACCTAATGGAGCTAGGACAAATTCCTAGACATAAGATTGCTGGGTTGAAGAGTGGAAGCCTAGGTAGTTTTGTTAGACGTTGCTAAATTCCTCTCCATTATACAGTCTGGATTCCTGTCAACAACATAAGAGAGTCCTTGTTCTCCCACAGTCTCACCAGTTGAATATATTGTCAAACTTGAAGGTTTGCCAGCTGGTTAGGTAAAAATGGTATCTTAGTGTAGCATTAATTTATTTCTTTTATTAGAGAGAAATCTAACAACTTTTCCATTTACAGAGCCATTTGCATTACTTTTTTGGGAATTGGCTTCATGTCTTTTGCCTCTTTTTGTACAGAATTTTGGGTTGTTTTTGCCATTCTTCTTTTTTTGGTACTGGGAATTGAACCCGGAGTACATAACCACTGAGCCATATCCCCAGCCCGTTTTTTGTATTTTATTAGAGACAGGGTCTCACTGAGGTGCTTAGGGCCTTGCTAAGTTGCTGAAGTTGGCTTTGAACTCACCATCCTTCTGCCTTAGCCTCCGCTACTGGAATTACAGGCATGCACTTCCATGCCTGACCTTGCCCTTTATTTTTAAAGGTCCTTTGTTAGACATTAGTGCAACACACACCCAGCCCCCACCCCATTATCCATGGTATATGTTGCAAATGTTTTCTCCCAACTTCTAATTTACTTGTGAGTTTGCTTGTAAATGCTATTTACCATGAAAACACTTTCCCCATGTTCATATTTCAGGGACATTTCTCTGTTTTCCTCTAGTACTTTTGTAGTTTTATTTTTTTTCTTTTATATCTTTGGTTCTTTAGAGTTTATTCCCTTGTATGATCTGAGGAATTGATCTGCTTTATCTTTTTTTTTTCCAAATATTAAACTCTTTATTAACCCTTAATCTTGGACTTTAAAAATGTTTGTGAAGAATTTTTTGAAATTTCCTTCTCTTGATATAGGTGAAGCTGGGTATATTATAGTGTGCTAATATCACTGTGGTCAAGATTTTGACTGCCTTTAGTGTAGTGAGGAGCAAGGACATGTGCTGTGTTTGCTTTAGAGCAGCTCCTTACAGTGAATAGTGTATCTATATCCCTAGTATATCCTCTGACTATTCATCTAGAAGAATTAATATAAAATGAAAAGAGGTGCTTTACAAAGATGCTGCTAAAATATAATTTCATAGCTTGTGTTTGTAGTTTGAATATAGTTTTAGGAAATAAGTCAGTTTTGGTACTTTTGTTTTGAAATTGATCATAACCAAAAATTGTGACCAGAGAGTTCTTAAGCACATTTTGTCCTCTCTCTTGGGCCTTTTGCCTCATTGATGGGTAGCACCTTCTGAAGGATTAGAATAATAAATACCTCTGTGCCCTCCTCTGTAGCCTTAGCTTTCATAAAATATTTGATGATGTTTCTACCTTTGGTTTTCTTTAACTTTTTTTTATACAGTTAAGTTTACTTAATCTGTTTTCTATTTTAAAGGAACATAATTGAAATTTATATAGTTTCCCAAATGGATTTTTCAAAAACTGCTCCTAACTTGTGATTTTCTTAAGATTATAGAGTAAAGTAAAAATCTTTTTCCTGCCTAAATGCCTTTTTCTTTTAGACAGTTTGCTACTGTTGTTTAGAATTGCATTAAAAGCTGCAGAAATATACTTTCCTTTCTATTTTAGCAAACACGTCAATTCTTGTTTTAGTAATTTTTCTTACATTGTGTAAGAATTGTCCAAATGAAGACACATGCCACTGGGTTAGTTCTCAGTAGTTAGGATATAATCTGATATGAATGAGTATAGCTAACAGAGTGATTAGCAAAGCCCTGCCTGTGATATGCTACAAGGCTTATAAATGGTATGCAATTTTTACTGAGTATGCAGATTTTCTTATGTAATTTAATTTGTTTAGTGATAAATTTTGCTTTTGTTTTAACTGGTAAGTGTGTTAGTAAGCTTTTATCACTGAAATAAACTACCTGAGATAATTAACTTATGAAGAAAAAAGATTTATTTTGGCTCATAGTTTTAGAGATTTCATTCCATGATTGAACAAACCCATTGCTATTAGACTTCTGGTGGAAGTATTGGATGGTAATGGCAGGGAGCACATGGCAGAGCAAACTGCTCTTCTCACAGCCTGGAGCAGAAGAGGAAGGGGCCTAGGTTCTAGCCCCAGAGACTTTAAATCACTAAGACTTTAAGGACTTTAAATCACTAAGCTTCACCTCCTAAAAGTTACACTACTTCTCAGTAGCACTATCCTTGGGACCAAGACTTTAACATATGGGCCTTTAGGGGTGTTTCACATGCAAATGATAGCAATAAGTTAATGTAATATAAACCAATATATACTTACTCTAATTGGTGTTGACCTCAAAGGAGGTAGTATGGTATATATATATATATATATATATATATATATATATATTTTTTTTTTTTTTTTTAAAGAGCATGTAAAGTGAGCTTTAATATATTTACCAATTACTGGATGACTTTGAGCAAGAATCTTGTCTGAGTTGCAGCTCATTATTTGTATAAATTGATAATAGTAATATATTGTGATGATTAAGTATATACAATATTCTTAGGTTGTTGACCTGACACATGGTAGACATTGAGTGAATTGTAATGTTTATCATTGTTATTTTGTTAAGAACTTAGATGCCTTTTTGGTGAAAGATGTTACATATAGCTAATAGTAAATGGTGATGATGAGTAACTTGACCATGAATTCACTTTCTCTTTGACTAATTTTCAAAATATTTATAGTTTACAATGATTGCAGCGAGCTAAGGAATTGGGGTTTAAAAATAATAAATGTTAATTCTTTATTCATAATTATAATAGTTGGAGCAAGTGTCTGCTGATTGCTGAAGGTACCATAGAGCTCTGAATCCATAACTATGATTCTTTCTCATCCTCTCTTCTCAAATGAGTCAGTTCTTCTAGTTATGATTGAGCATCCTTGGCCTTGTCTACTCTTCAGATGACTGCTAGGTGTAAGGATAGCTCTGTTAGAAATTTTGTCACTGGAAAAGAAAGGCGTGGGTTCTAGGTGTTAGGAAACTGACTCTTTCAGTCCTGGGAGGAGACTATGGGGAGGAAAAGAGAAGTTTGGAGAGTGAGAGAATGGATCTTCATACATCTTTGTAATATTCTCTATTTCCCATTTTCCCATAATTCTTGTAGTCCCCTTTTTCTGAGTCTTATAGATTTTTGTCTAGTAGAATTTCTGTTTTTAGCAGTATTCTTTTGCAAGTATATTTAAGTAGTTTTTTTTTTTTAAGGTAAAATAGATGCAGTATTACCAGCTTTTCTCTTTTTCTCTTAGCAAAAGCAAAGCCCAGCAAAGCTTTCCATTTAGCTCTCTAAAAATGCCAATCTTGAATTAGTTTCTTTATCATGGAATAAATTCTACTTATTTTATTTTTTTACTTGTAAGATATTACCCTAACCTTAAAGGGGCTACTGTTTTGAGAAATTGAAATTACAGTGGTTATTGTAATGAGAAATTAAAACACCAAGTTGCTATTCTAGACTAATTGTGCAGTAATTTTATTTCAAATAGCATAAAAAGAAGTTGGTGAGTCATGTTACCTATATTCTCAACACTTCACCCTCCTTTTTAAGTGCCTCTTTTTCCACCAAAAAGCCTCCAAGAAAATTCCAACCAAGGTATAACTAAATGCAAAAATGCTTCAAGTTAAGGAAAGAACCACTAGAACTAGATGATTAGCAGTGAATGAAGAGTAACAATTCAGAGAAACCATTTTATTATGATTTTATTTTTAAAAACTAAAAGCTTAAAAGGCACAGAGTTAACTAACAGATGTAGTCTAACAGATTATTCATCTCCTTTCAGCAGTGTACTGTAAATTGAGTCTTCTCAAAACTCATTCTAACCAAATGGATAAGGTTCTGTTAAGGAAGCACAGGAAAGCTTTTCTGTTCCCCTTGACAACTAGTTCTTCTAGGTGAGTATCTGCCTTAATTGGCAGAATTGTAGTAATTCCTCATGATTTGGGTGAAGTGACTTTGTGAGTATTCCAGGTCATCACATACAGTACCTTTCTAAGTATGGCCTGCTCCATTTCTAGACTAAGAATTATGAGCTCCTTTTTGCCTTACCTCTTACACAAATGCTTTCAGCAGTTAGTGTGAGAAGCCATAGGTTTTGCCGTACTTTTAATCCCTTCCACTTCTCTTCTTCAAAGGCTCCAATAGGGATTAGTCAGGTATAATATTTTCCTGAGCAGAATATTTTTAAGTAATGTTATCAGACTGTGTTTTAAATGGATATGGGAGGAACACTATTACTTTGTAGATCTTGACCCTCTGGAGGCACTACCCATCTTAATTTTAAAGATTGATTTCAAAAGGATATAAGAACCCTAGCTTTTTTCTCTGCCACGTCTGTGCATATTTTTTAGTCTAAGAATATATTTCTGATTTCAGCTTGACTGACAGAACTTTCTATATTATAGCTAATTAGGACTTGAATAAGAACTAAAAGCATTTTAATTTGAATAAAAATGTGAAGCTTAATGAAAATATAATTATAAATATTTAATTTTTTTTTCAAGGATTCCAAAATACTATCATTCTCTCTTTTTTTAAAGTTTCACTTGAAAAAAAATCATTATTAGGATTTTTCTTTTTTGAGCTGATAACATCTGTCAAAATGTAGTCTTTCAAATTGTATTAGGGCATTTGTTCTTACTTTGGTCATAACTTTAACTAAACAGAAAAATAATTGTATTAATTGTTTTATGTTTGATTATAGTTACCTAGAAATTAATAGTTTAAACCAAGAGCTAATTACTTGATTAGTTGCAGGTGTAACAATATTTTAAAATAGGATATAGATTACATTTTGTAGGAATGAATGTCTCACATATGCATTATGTTTCCTTTAGTTGTTTGAAACTCTGACTTTAGTGAGATTAAAATCCAATTATCAGAATTTATGTATTTTTAACTCTTTGGTAAGCAGCTATACATACTCATTTTAAATAAAGAAGCAAGTCATTTCTGTATAAACCTCTTAAAATAAGATAAAAAATGTCTAAATATTCGTTATTTTGACCAAAAAAGATATTGTCTCCACCACCTGCACCCCAGTTCTGTGTCTTGCTAAATAGGACAGGATCAGTATCATTACAGGGTACTCTGCCTGTGGCTAATTTGTAAAATTCTGGATCACATTAAGTAGGGAGAGAAAGCATAGTCTGGGACTTCCTGCTTAACAGATCATAATTGTGTGATTTTTCAGGTGGCCTCCTGATAGCATCTGCTCATTTTGGTGCATATGTATATGGGACAGACATAGACTATAATACAGTTCATGGCTTGGGTGAGTAGAACTTACAGACAGTGTCATAGTCTTTGTTGTTGAACCAAATGTGCCTTTCAAATAATAATAAAATAGACCTATATGACTTTTTATGTTTAAAATACAAAATTGCAATATAATTATACTTTTCACAAGTAAAACTTCATCAAATATCTATTTTTTACAAAGTGATAACAGTATGTGCATAATGATTTGGAGGAACACAGAGATGAATAAGAAAAATACCTCTCCCCAGAGGTATTTGTAGTCTTAATAAAAGAGGTTAAAAAAAGTAGGCAAACTATAGATTCATGAGCTTGAAGTTTAAGAGAGAAAAAGAGGAAGTAGCGATTTTGTAATCCATAAATACATATTATGAAAATATATATAGTTTATATTATTTAAGATTGTAACTATCCATTTATTCAGTAATCATATATTGAGTATATACTGGATTAGTATTTAATACCTAATTTTTGAAGTATCATGTAAATTTTAATTTTCATAACTGACCAACACATCTTTGAAACACTTAGGGGACAGTAACTTTAAAGATTCTACCGTTAAGTGAGAGTAACTTGAGATAAGAATCTGCTTTACTTTTGGGGCAGTTTTGGAAATTTTTTTTTTGGTACCAGGGATTGAACCCAAGGGCACTTAACCACTAAGCCATGTCCTCAGCACCCCTCTTGCCTTTTTTTTGAGACAGGGTTTCACTACGTTGTTTAGGGCCTCACTAAGTTGCAGAGGCTGGCTTTGAACTTTCGATCCAACTGCTTCAGCCTCCTGAGTCACTAGAATTACAGGTGTGTGCCACCACATCCAGCAGTTTTGGATAATGCATTAAGTTTTAAAAGCTTCACTGATGATGTGTATTTTGATGGAATTGAATCAAATTGAAAAAGTGTTTCCTTATAGCTAAATAGTATTACAAATGTTAAATTTTATTCATAATTTTGAAAGTATTGATCTTTATGTTTGTATTTCACTATGGTAAAACTTAAATCAGCTCTTAAAACACTTCTTCCTTTTGGTTATTCCTATTTGCTATAAGTCGTTGTATAGGTGAGACTTTATTATGCTTTCTTTTCTTTTACTGAAGCAATTGATGTATTGTACTAATGTCCTGTCTTTTTTCCTACCTTGACTCTTAAGAAATTTAGTAATATTTATGAGGAAGAAAAATGTGTTTTATTTTTAAATGGTTTACATAAAGGGACTAACCAGAAAAGTATATTCTTTGTCTGCATTATATTAGAATAGACAAAATGCTAAAAAATATCCAGTTTCCTTTTAGTAGAATCATTGTGCCTGCTTTAAGGATATTGTCTTATATAATTTATTTGAATTTTTATTTTTTAAGATTTAAAAATTTCTGTGATAGTCATTCTACTGGGAATATTGTTTCCTCAGATCTTATCAAAGGCACTACTATTGTATATCCTCTGAACTTTATGCTTCTCATCTTAGACTGTATTCTAAAATATTCCCAAGTTTCTCCTACTTTAAAAGTGCAAAACCTTTTCTATCAGTCCTGTTGGGGTTTTTGCCAAAATCTTCTGAAATACTAGTATTTGCTTGCTGTCTCCTTTTCCTCATTTCTTATTCTTCTTATTCTTTCTTTAGCACTTGTTTTTCAGCTTCGATATCCATAAATCTGCTGAAAATGCTTAGTGAGGTCACAAAACTAACAGTGTTTGGCAGTGTTGACCCTCACAAACCTTCCTTGGTTTCCTAGATAGTGGTCTCACTCTGTGGTTTGACTTTTTTTTTTTTTGACTGTTTTATCTCAGTCTCCTTAAGACCTTGCAATTTTCTTTGATCTCTGTTTACATATTGCCCCTCGCCAGGCATCAATCTTTGACCCCTGCTCATATTACACTGCATGTTGTTCTGAGTTATGTCATTCTCTTTTTTATTTTTATGTTTTGTTTTTATTGTGAATTTTAGATTACATAGAACCACGTATAAATATTTAAGAGTAATTTTAGAGCAAACTTCAATGTGACTGGCACCTAGGCCAACAAAAAAAAGTCATTCATTCTCATGAATGCAACATGTTTATGTCCGGATATCTCCCAAATGTATGTGTTCTGACCTTCAGCTGCCTGCTGATTATCTCTTTTAGCAGAATATCTCTTTCTGAAGGTTCTGTAAGTACCTCAGGTATATCATGATTATGTATCTCAAACTTTCCACTTAAGCTTGTTTTACTTTCTGGTTTCTCTGATCTTAATCACTGGGATCACCATACACTTAGGTCTCCTAAACTAGAAACTTTTGAACTTTTTTGGCCCTCCCTCAACTCCCACTTTGACTTTTCATCAGCTATGTCTGCATTTAGCCTCCATGGCCACAGTTGCTGCATTTCCCAAGTTCGCTTTCTTCATTTCTGTTTCATTTGTCTGTTCAGCACTATCTCTATGTGGGACTATTTACTGCTGGAGGAAATGGCCATGTTCTAGTCAACTCTGTTTTTACCAGTAAATACTTCATAATTGGCAAGTGTTTAATGAGTGTGTTAAGGCAGTTTTACTTGGAGTTCTGTTAGATATCAGTGTGTTTTATTGTTCAAAATATATTTTTAATAACAAATTCAAATAAAGATAATAGTTTACTTGCATACGTAAAATGAAGATTTTACAAAAGTCAATATATGGGATGATTTTAAACTAAAAAGCTTCTTTACCGCAAAGGGAACAATCAAAAATGTGAGATAGAATCTGCAGAATAGAAGAAAATCTTTGCCACTTGCACCTTGGATAGAGCATTAATCTCCAAGATATACAAAGAAGTCAAAAAATTTGGCACCAAAAAAACCCCACAAATAACCCAATCAATAAACCAGCAAAGAAACTAAACAGGCATTTCACAGAAGAAGAAATATGACTAGTCAATAAATATATGAAAAAAAGTTCAACATCTCTCGAAATTAGAGAAATGCAAATTAAAACCACACTGAGATTCTTACACCAATCAGAATGGCAAGTATCAAGAATAGAAGGAATGGGACTGAGGTTGTGGCTCAGCAGTAGAGCACTTGCCAAGCACGTGTGGGGCCCTGGGTTCAATTCTCAGCACCACATAAAAATAAATAAGCAAAATAACTAAAAAAAAAAAAAGAATACAAGAAACAATAAATATTGGCAAGATGTGGGGCAAAGGTTCACTCATATATTGCTGGTGGGACTACACATTGGTGTAACCATTCTGGAAAGCAGTATGGAGATTCCTCAGAAAACTTGCAATGGAACCACCATTTGACCAAGTTATCCCACTCTGCGATATATATCCCAAGGACTTAAAATGAGCATACTGCAGTGACATAGCACATCAATGTTTATAGCAGCTCAGTCCACGCTAGCTAAGCTATGGAGCCAACCTAAGTACCCTTTAACAGATGTATGGATTAAAAAAAAGTGCGGTACATATATACAATGGAATATTACTCAACCGTAAAGAAGATGAAATTATGGCATTTGCTGGTAAATGGATAGAACTGGAGACTATTGTGGCTAGTGAAATAAGCCAATCCCTCAATACTAAAGGCCACATGTTCTCTCTAATATGCGGATGCTAACACACAATAAGGGTGGGTGTATTGTGGGGGCGAGAAGTTCATTGGATTAGGCAAATGGGAATGAAGGGAAGAGGGAGAAACGAGAATAGGAAAGACAGTAGAATGAATTGGATGTAACTTTCCTGTGTTCATATATGAATATACAACTAGTGAAACTCTGTATCATGTACAACCACAAGAATGGGATCCTAAGTTATAGTCCTTGTATTTATAATATGTTAAAGTATACTCTATTGTCATGAGTATCTAAAAAGAACAAATAAAAAATAAATTAAAAAATAAAATTCCTCATAACTCATAGCAGTTAAGCTAGTATGAATATGTGGTTGCTTGACTGGAAAAAAAGAAATGAAGGTTTTAAATCAAAGCAAATTTTATGTAAGTTAAGTGTGGGTTTAGATGAGTTAAAACGTGACTTTTAGCTAAACAACAGGAAATAAAAATGTTCTGTTTTATCTAATACTTTCTACCTTTCTTTTCTTTCTTTCTTTTTTTTTTCTTTAAGGAAAGGCTAGTCGGAAAAACCAGAAATGGAGAGGACCTGATGAAAATATCAGAGCCAATCTTCGTCAGTATGGTCTAGAGAAGTATTACCTTGATGTACTGGTTTCAGATGCATCTAAACCTTCCTGGAGGAAGGGCACATATTTTGATGCCATTATCACTGACCGTAAGTTTATTTTTATACAAAAGTAGTAGTGGGATTAGTTGTCTAGTCATTTGCCTGTAAAGTACAAAATGTGTCATCATAGACACAGAATGCCAATTTGTACAAGTAGTACTCCTCCCAATTTGTTCACATAGGAAAGGAGAAAATTATTAATGTAAGGTCGATTATAATTGAACTAAATAACTATGGGTTTTCTGTTTTGTTTTTTTAAACAAATATAATAACTTACCACCTGTTTTTTCCCTTCAGCATATTGTTTTTTTGAGACATTTGTTTTTATATTGACTAATTAATTAATTGATTGTTAGCATACTAAAATGTTGTTTGGAGTTGTTATAGCAAATCTCAGAGAAGAGTTTCAGGTGTCACATATTGCAAGCCTCTCAAGTTTTGTCTTGTCCTTTTCACTGGTATCTCCTTTCTAGACTTAGAATAAATTTGGGGTTCTGTGAAATAAGTTTCAGAAATATGAATGAGAACTTATTTTCTATGCCTTGTGAAATCTTAGGATTTTTAGGTTGTCTATCTAAGATTAGATCTGCCTTTTTAATAGTATTTGGCAGTAATCTATAAATAGTGGAAAAATCAAGAACTATCTCAGCCCTGTTTAGTTTTTTAATAACTTAGATGGCTTCAATTCTAATAAAAGAAAAACTATCAAGGCATTACAGTGTTGGCGTAATACTCTACTGTCATGTATAACTAAAAAGAACAAAGGAAAAAACAATGTCAGTGTTAATATATTTTATGAAAATTTGGGCTTTTTATTAACAATTTATTTGCTTCACCACTATGTATGTATATTAATTTTTTTTAATGAACTTGAGAATAAGTTGTGTACATTGTGGTCCTTTACCTCTGTGCATTAGTGTATATTTCCTAAGAATAAGGAGTGTCTTAGAAAGCTAAAGAGTTCTCAGTTTCAATATACTGATACAATACTTTAATCTACAGATTGTCATCCAATTTTCTTAGTTGATTCATTAATATCCTTTATAGCATATTTTTTCTCTTGAGTATAAGAACCACTCCAGAATCAGTTATTGGATTTAGTAATGATATCTTTGTGGTTTCCTTTATTTCTGATACTTTCATGGCCTTACTATGTCTTTTATGACATAGACATTTTTGAAAATACAGTCAATTTTTTATGATAGTTATTCTCAGTTGGAATAGTGCGTAGGCGAAATTGTATCCTCTGGTGTCACATTTGGAGGCACATTGTATCTATTTGCCCTTCATTGGTGATTTGTTCACTATTACTTATTTTCTCTCTAGCTCCATATGGTATCAGAGAATCTACAAGAAGAACAGGTTCACAGAAAGAAATACCAAGGGGGATAGAGAAGTGGTAAGTGAAATTTAAATATGAGGAGTTATTACTTTGAGAAGCATGTTTCTTCTCTTTAGTTAATTTCAGTAGTCTTAAAATTTTCACTGATTTGAAATTTTGTTTTCTTTGTATAGTCCAGAAAGCCATGTTCCTGTTTCCTTGAGTTATCACTTGAGTGATATGTTTTTTGACCTGTTGAACTTTGCAGCTGAGACCCTCGTATTAGGTGGAAGACTAGTCTATTGGTTACCAGTGTATACACCAGAGTATGTAATTTTAATTTTGTTTTTCTTAAAATGTTTGCATATCTAACTTAATTTTCCCTTCACCTCTAATTTTATTCAAGGTATCTTTTATTTAATATGTATTGATAGTCTTTGTTTACCTACATAAGTATGAAAAATAATCCCTTTCCTATTATTGATTGGATTGTTTTGACCTTTTTATATTTGGGGTGGGCAGACCTTAGCCTATGGGCCAGATATGGTTCTCGGTCTGTTTTGGTAAGGTTCTTAAGCTGAGACTGGTCTTTTCACTTAAAAAGGATTGTTAAACGTGCACAGAAATGAATATGTGACAAAGTATATGTAGTCCACAAAACTGAAATGATTTATTTTCTGGCCCTTCACAGGAAAAAGTTGCCAATGCCTGTTTTACACCATAGTTACCTCAGTATCTAGTGTATCATAGCCATACGGTAGCTATTTTAGCAGTCTACACATAGTAATTTTCAGCAATTTAGCTGAGATATTCATGTGTTAAAGAATGCTAACTTTCATAAATATTGTCTCTTATGATTACCTTAAATGTAGTAAATATTTTTTAAAGCAAAGGTCTCAAAAAAGTTATGCATATATTTAAAGCCTTGTTTATGTTTAACATAAACAACAACAACAAATACACCTTTTCTGTCGATATTATAGGGGTCCTCTAGCTACAGCTTTTGTTTTCCTCTTCATTTTGCCAAAATGCTGCTTGAAATATTTGTTTTCTGTCTCCTTTTCCACAGCTCTTCCTCTTGAGACCATAGCAGAAGCAAGTCACCTGCTTTTTATTTTAAGTTGCAGAGCTAAAATTTAAAAAAAAATTATTTTGAAGTAACCTCAAACTTACAAAAAAGTATCAAATATAAATATAAAACTCCCACTCTCTACCTTCATTCAGATTTTCAAAATATTAGCTATTGTTTACCCTTACCTTCTATTCTTGCACATACCCATATCATTAGTCTCTTTTGACACATTTGTAAAACTGCAGGCATAATGCCTTATCACCTGTACTTACTCCATTGTATTTTTTAGAAACTAGTATTTTTGGCTACCACTGTCAGCTATAGAAGTTTGAAAATCTGCATTGATAACAGTTGCTTGTCATGTTCATGGATTCACATTTTACCAATTTCAATCCATACAGGAAAATATGCTACATTTTTCTACATTATCTTTTCAGTCTCTTCCAGTCTGGAATATTTTTCAATTTTTCTTTGTTTTTTGTGTTTTCAGCAGTTTAATTATAGAGTATGTGATTCATATTCTGAGGGTTGACCCTCAAGCAGGGTACATGTTTCCTCTATGAAAAGACTGAGGTAATGCTTTCGTACTAGGAATAATACAGAAAATGTTCTTTGTGCAGCACATCATGGGGCATATAGTCTGCCTTGTGATGTTACTTTGACCATCTGGTCATGTTGTTGTCTATTAGGTCTCAATTCAAAGTGGTCGTTTTCTTTGGTTAGAATTTCCAAAGATTACAAAAATATCTTGTATTTTATCAGACCCTGCTCAGTTGACAAACCCATTTTTTATACCCACAAATATGGTGGTTGTCAAATGATGACTTGCATTCCATCATTTTTTCTGCATTTGTTCATTTGCATTCTATAAAGGAGAGTTGTCCCTTCCCTTCTCTCTCATTTGTTTATGATTTTATTTGAAGTAGCATAGAGTCATGTATTCCTGTATTATTCATTGAATTATCACTTATTATTATTTATTTTGTTGCTCCAGTTGTCCCAGATTTAACTAGTGGGAATCTCTGTGGGCTGGCTCTTCTGTACTTTAAAAATTTCCTCATTTGTTTTTGTACACATCCTTATATTCTAGCATACCTGATTGTCCATTCTTTGTAGTTTTTTATTTAAATATAATTGAAATTTTATGTGATTAAGAATTTCTTTTGAAGTTCTTTTATTCCTTTAGAAAAGTTAAATTTGTAGGTACTTTAAATGTTATTTCTAAAGACCAGTTTGACACTAGATATTTTTTTAGTGACTTTTCTAAAATTTTAACAATTTTGCACAAAAGGATATGTTCAAATACATATAAGCAAAGGAATGTTTTAGAAATAAACATAGGAGATATATTTTAATTGATTCTTTTTTTGCCTTAGATTTTATGTTGAGGGATAGATAGACTTTTTCCAGGTGTGTGGCTAGCACACATGGGAAGACCATGTGGCATTTATTTCTTTTATTTGAATCTGAAGCATTATTTCTATATCCTCTAAAGTTCAGTACTAGACCTCTATTGTTTCTTCTCCCCTTAAGTCTTAAAGGATCTTTTCAACAAATTATTTTTATTAATTGCTAGCTTACAGTGAACTTAGTTTATCTTGAGTTTATGCTAGAAAAATGAACCATTTTTACTTTTGTAGTATATATAATCCAAAAATCTTCACTTTTTCTTTTTTTGTAAAATAACACAGTAGCAAGGATTTAAGGCCAAAGTCATCTATAGGTTTTAAATAATATTCTTGCCTCTAAATTAAACAGTTTAGAATTAGTCTATTTATCTTCTATTGAAAATATAGTTTTTTATTAGACTAAGTACAAAAATTTTAACTTAGCATAGATTGGTTTTAAGAGTTTTTTGTTTCTAGTATGGTGAATGTAGACTTTTAGTCCTGCTGTAGAATTAACTTACTTAATCAAATCCTGTTATATGACTCAAGTTCAAAATTAAGAAGTACATATTATAATTAAGTTAAGGTATTATTGAAACGGGGCATTTTGAAAATTCAGTTAGACATAATAAAAACAAAATACTACCTAAAAGCTCAGTTGCATTTGAAAAGTTGTCAGAACTAATTATAAAGAATTTTTTCATTGTTTGATGATTTTAATTCTAGTAAAGAAATTAAAACTTGCAAACTTTGCTACTTTTCCTCTTGTTTAGACTCTCTCTAATCCAGTATATAAGATATTTTACCATTGTCACAATATCTTTATATTTTCATCTTAGCTTATTCTGTTATGGCCTTTCTTTCCTCTGCTAGTAAAATTCTAGTCATCTTCCAAGATGAGGCTTTATTGTCACCCCTTCTTTGACACTTTTCTATTGCTTCTCAGCTGAAATAATCTATCCGTCCTCTGTACTCTGTGGTCGATACTTACCATTCAAAGAGACTTTACTATATGATATCACTATAATCTATTGGTGTTTTGGGGTTTATTAAGAATTTTGACTACTTTCAAATGATCCTGAACATCTGTGTTCTGTTCATTTAAGACAGGGCATAAGGTTGGCTCATGTGTGTTGGAAGTGATAATAGGAGTCACTAAGCTACTGAGTGATACTGTGGCTGTTTGCCCAAGTTCAATTAAAAATTAAAAATGATGACTAAGAAGCCTAATAAAATTCCCTCATCAGATTTGGCAAGACATTTTTAATTGTAGTTATATGATTTCATACTAAATGATCCCACAACAGCAGGCCTTACAGAGAGATGTACTTCTATAAGAAGTACTTCTATAAGAAGTACATTTCTGACTATATAGAGAATATTAAAGAATTTTTACATGAAGTGAAACTGAAATGGTTATAACTTCTTGTAAAGCTCTAAGGAAAGAGTCAGAGAATGACTTCAAGAGAATTGCTCCTACTGATAATAAAGTGAAGTTGCAGTATGAATGTTACTTGGTAAGTGGGTGGTGAAGGTTCTGAGCATGTGGTTGAAGTAATAAGGGAGAGCTTGTTGAAGGTCAGAGATCTGGCAAAGTCAGAAAGAGTGATGGTGAAGGTGGTGTTGACACATTAGAATAGTTAGCTAAGATCTTGTTTTTTAGTCAGTACCTTTCTCATTTTGGATCAGAGCATTAAGGTTACCTGTATAATAAATGTGTGTAGAGACTATCCAGAAAGGCGTAAAGATTTGCAAAGGAAAAAAAAAAATCTGTTAATCAGTGTTCTAAAGATGCTCATACCTGGTGAGTTTCTTCCCTGCTTTTATTCTACATTCTGCTTCAGAACTTTGTTCCATATTTGTCACCTGTTTCCTCTGCCAAGATTGGTACCAACAACCTTCGAGATACCAGGTCACAAACTATTGCATCTTTCATGTGGTACATGTATTGAAGAGCACAGTCTCCACCACCCATTGTCATGGCTTCAGTATTATTTCCTAGTTAATGTGACCAGATGACTGATATAATCTACGTGCTTAGTTTATTTGAATAGTTGTATAAATAACTTTAGTCTAGTATTTACAAATTTAACATAGATCTCGAGATGTCATTGTAATTTTGCAGGTGCATTTCATTTTATAGGGGAAAGTATATGCCATAGTGCACTTTATATTTTGGTAATTTATAAACGTCTCCAAACCAGTCAGTATGTCATGAATGTCTGGGGACTGTAGGATGTACATCTCTCTGTAAGACCTGCTGTTGTGGGATCATTTAGTATGAAATGATATTTGTGATTTAAATGTTTGATGCTCTTTAAAAAACTTACTTATATCCTTTCTCATTTTCTTTTCAAGGGGTAAAAAAATAAACTGCATTTTTTTGATGTGGTAATATTTAAATACTTTGCTGTTGAAATACAGGTAGGCTATTTATGGATTCTGTGGACAATTAGCATATGTGGAATAAAATGGTACCTCATGTAGAGGAAAGACCTCCCTCACCACACTGGTTATACCCCCATGATGATCCTGTGTGGATTGCACATGTGAATGTTCATACTAGTTAGCTATTCTTTCTTCAGGTACACTGAAGAGATGGTACCCTGGCACCCTTGCCTGAAACTCATCAGCAACTGTGAGCAGAAGCTTTCTAGTCACACATCAAGGCGCTTGATCACAATGGAAAAGGTGAAGAAATTCGAGGTAAATTGCTGGAGTATTTTTAAAATAAATTTTGGAGGAATCAAAACTAGAATTTTTAAAGTTGCTTTTCCGTAGTAGAATTTGTAAATGTTAGTCCTTGAGTTTCCCTGATGAGTTCAGGAAAAGATTATAGAGATTAAGTTCAGGAAGAGTTAAAGAGATTTGTGTCAGGGCTGGGGATGTGGCTCAAGTGATAACGTGCTTGCCTGGCATGCGCAGGGCGCTAGGTTCGATCCTTAGCACCACATAAAAATAAAATAAAGATGTTGTGTCCACCGAAAAACTGAAAAATAAATATTAAAAAATTCTCTCTCTCTCTCTCTCTCTC